ATGTTCCTCTCATTAAAGACGGCTCCCTTTTTCCACAAACGTGTAGGAGTTATGAGTTCTTCAAAAAAGGGGGAGAAGTGAAGTATTTCGAACTGTTGACTTTTCCAAAAAACAGTAACGGTTAAGCCAGGTTTGTAATGCGGCTTTAAAAGTGGACTGATTATGTTGCCTATCGTAAAGATCTACCTGATAAAGACTTTCAAGTTGCTCTCCCAGAATCTCTTTTATCGGGTTTCCGCTTATGTTGAGCATTTTGAGATTGACAAGATCATCAAAAACGTCGTGCTCGAATCGGGGAAGGTTGTTAAATGAGATGTCGAGGGAATGAAGCTGCGCTGTTCTTGCCAAGTCATATCGACTGATATCATAGATCTTGTTCCTACAAAGAATCTCATCATTACTGCTTCGTGATCATCAAAGAAAGTCTTACATGCTGAGATTGAAGTGCCGAATTGCGTGATGGCTCATTCGTGGTATCGAAAAAAGACCCGTGTTAGCGAGATTGATGTCATTCATTGTGCTGCTCATATCCTGAAATTTCATTCTTAAGCGTCTTGTTAGGTTGGCCGGTTATTGGAAGCGTCGCCGCAACAGATATCTGCTAGCGTTATTATGAATTAGCCAGGTCTGAAGCTCAAAGATATGCACCACCGGGGTCCACCAACATTCAGGAGTAGCATAGCGATTTCCCTTCCTTAGGAGGTCGGGGGTTGCGACAAATTTCAAAGAAGGTATCGACCTCCTTTTTTATTTTGTCCTCACTATCGAACCTTTTTTGGCCGCGCCGAGCAGATGATTTCCCAGTCTCACCACGCTTACTACTCTAGCCGCCATTTGACATCCCCTCAGGTTCCAGCCTATCCGGAGGAAAAGGAAATCGTCAAGCCAACCGAACGTTGGCGGAACTGCTGGTACACCCTGTGATTTTCTAGGGTGGTTTGCTGCAACCTAATTTAGTTTTAGCAAATATTTGTGGCTTTGATCAACATTATACTTCGAATTCGTGATTCATTACTTACCCTGAAAGCGGAAGGGCTCCATGTGCTGACGGGGTTGTTGCTGATATCCAGATATTTCAAGGCGGGAAGGTGTTCGAAGGCGCCTTCTTCTATAGTCTCAATACGATTACGTGATATTATCAGTTTTGTCAAATTCCTCAGCTCAAAAAACTGCGACGAGTCGAGTGTTCGAATGCGGTTCCGATCCAAATTAAGAATAGACAGACTGGCAGATGTAGATCGTAAAGCGTCGGTTGGTACACTTGGAAGTTCGTTTCCAGCAACGTCTAACGATAGAATGTTGTTCTTTCCAAAACATCCAGGTTGCAAGTGTAGCACTGCGTTGTGGCTGATGTCCAAATGATGTAGAAGCTCCTGAATTAATAGAAGTTTTAGAAATTTCATTTTTTTTTACTGATGTATTTGAACTAACGAGGTCTCCATTTTTCCCCTTTTTTGTGACTGTAGGTAAAGCATATATTCCACTGAGTGCTTTCTATGGTCTATGCAGTGATCTGGTTGTAGTTGGGCTTTTGAATGGTGATTTCCCTGTGTCAAACACTGTTTGAAGGTGTTCCTGTTCTCATGGGCAAGTTCCAGCTATTATTTCTGATCAGGCATGGGCTGCTTTGTTGTCTATGGAGGGAATTTGTGAGCTGTTCCCTTCTACTCTATTGATATACAGGCTTTATTAGGAGGGGAACATCCCAATGCCCCCAACTTTGGATGCGTCCTCGCATCTGTTTCTATCAGAATCTCAGGAAGGTCTGAATGCACCCATTGATTTTCCCACCCATTGATTTGTGGTAGCCAACCGAAGTACGAATCAAAACCTCTTAGCCTCCGAATGAGCCTATCGCGAACTATCCCAAGCCAAAGAAATGGAAGATTT